ACTTGGTTGCCTTGAGTGGAGCTCAGAGCCAGCCGCGTCAGGTGGGAAGCTTGGCTTCCTCCATCGCCCAGGCAACCAAGCCTCCTGCTTGCTCCAGCTCTGTGACTGCCGGCCGCCATCTTGGTTGGGTTAATTTGCATATAGTCGCTCTGATTGGTGGGCGTGGCTTGGGGCATAGCAAAGGTACGGTCAGTTTACATGTTTGTCTTTTATTAGTGTAGATGTGTCTTTGTATCCATCACAGCATTTATTTAAAGAGTGAGGAAATAACGTGTCAAAGCAGCATGTTGAACACCTCAAACTTACACAATGTTGTATCTGTTATGTCCCAATAATAAGTAAAATTATTAAAAACCAACAACAAAAATGAAAAAAGCTATGAAAATCTCAGAAAGTAAGCTGCCATACTTCCCAGTACTTTACAAAAACAACAGAAGGGGCAACTTTGGACCTAGAGCAGTTATCCTGAAACAAGCCTCTTTCTAAAAGTTCAGAAAAGCTCATTTCATACCAAAATAAGTAACATAAAACTATATAGTTCTGCAAGGTTTTTACATCCTATATCCATTGAAACCATGTCAGAAAAGCATGCCCATAAAGTAAGTAAAGACTGTAACCAATTATTTAAAAGTGGGTTATATGATGTTTCAAAAATGATTCCAAATGTGAAAGAATACCAAAAACCAGAATCTGGAAAATAAATAAGGGAAAAAATAATTCAGAAATGAAGACTAAACTAGAATAAACACAAAGGCAGATAAACAACAGATAATTCCTTAAGGAAAATAGAATTTTTAAAAATGTTTTTATTGATTTTTAGAGGAAGGGAACGAGAAACCATTGATCGGTGACCTCTTGGTTCCTGGGTCGACACTCAAACACTGAGTCACAGAGGCTGAGGGAAAATAGAATTTTTTTAAAAAAGAGGATGGCTTTAGAAATCATAAAGGATTAGTGGGATAATGTTAATTTTAGAGATTTAAAAATATCAGAACAAAATTACATGAAAAATACTTGCTGAAGAAAAAGTTATTTGGAACTACATGTTGAAAGAACACCCTGCCTACCTGAGAATATTATCCCAGATATAGTGAACTCTGGGTTTGACTGTGTAGACCAGGGATCCTCAAACTTTTTAAACAGGGGGCCAGTTCACTGTCCCTCAGACCATTAGAGGGCCGGACTATAGTTTAAAAATAAAACTATGAACAAATTCCTATGGACACTGCACATATCTTACTTTGAAGTAAGTAAACGAAACGGGAACAAATACAATATTTGTATTTGCATGTGGCCCGCGGGCCATAGTTTGAGGACCCCTGGTGTAGACAAAGACAGCAAGTGACTTAGAAAGCAAGACTAAATAGCACTATGCCAGGAAAAATTACACATTTAAGATATTGAGGGCGGGGAGAATGAGCAAAAGATTTTATATCTAACAAAACATTTTTAAAAATATAAAGATCACTGCTCAGACATTCTCAACATGCAAGAATGTAGAAAACATTTCCCTTGAGTGCTTCCTGAGGAGTGGACTAGAGAACATGCTCAGACAAGGTAAATAACTAGAAATATGTTGACATAAAGTCTGTGGTGAGCGTTAACTTTGACATCACATCACTGGACCAAAGTGCCAAACAGGTTTATTGTTGGAAGCTCAGCTCATGGGGTGGGTTTTCCCTCACCACGGAC